CAACACATGATCGCCATGGGAAAAACATAGAAAATGGGTTAACTTTCCACCACTTTCCTGCCTGGAGGTGCAACCACGGAGACCAAGTGTCAGAGATAAAGAGTCATCGGCTAGCTTGGATCGCGGCTGTAAGACGACCGAACATAATTTTCCACAGTATCCCGATGTCATTGAGAGGGTGTTCCCGGCATTTTCATTCTGGTAAGTTAAAGATGCACGGTTTTATTTTATAGCCTACATTGTTTCTTTCCTTCAAGGTTTGGATCTTTTACAGGAAAATAATAAAAACGGATCCGAAATGTGTTTCTGTGCCATATTTCCTCCTTGTTTCTGTCATTAGACTATGTAAATGTACTATTCGGCTGCCGCGAACAGAATAGCTCTTTACTTGGTGACCACTAGCTTGCTTAACGTTGCCATGACAATGACAATTTCTGGGAACTTGTTTTGATTAGGCCTCAACAAAATGAAATTAAAATCCAAATACACCCAATAGTAAAATAAAAAAAAGCCAAAATCATCTCCAAAAAGTATTAATAAGAAATGTTTAAATTGTGCAAAGTATTTTTAAAAACATTTTCTTTAAATCTCACTCTCGCCACTAAGAGGTGCTGCAGCACCCTCACTTCCCACAGCCATGGTGCAAGACATTAATTTCAACAGAAAAGTGTATTCAAGCCAAATCTGCATGCATCAGTCACCTGATATCCTTGCACAAAAGGATCCAGAATACTTGTGAGAAAGGCGAGTGTCCTTTGACCTCTGTCCGTGACCAAAATCGTCTGCTGGTGGATCTGCAGGGCTCCACATTTCACCAGAAGGTAACAAGCCTCTTCAAAGTCCTGAGAAGCATCAACCATGATAAAAAATATTATATAAAATAAAATAATGAAAAGCAAAGTCCAGCTGATTAAAAATGTCTAAGAGGTTTTTTTTTTCTTTCCTCACCTGTACTTCAGCTCCAGGACAAAGGATGAACTCATCAGAAAACACGTTCCTTAAGAAGCTGAAGGTGTTGAAAATCTCCTCTGAAAAAAAAATAAAAACAAAAAAGGCTTTAAAATTCTGTGTTAAAAGAGCAAAACCTTAAAAAATGTGTGTTCATTTATGTCCTAACACATTTTTTTCTAAATTCGCATTAAAAAAAAATTTAAATGTTGCATAATGCTGAATGAGATCAGACTTTCTGCAGAGTTTCTTTACATTTTATTCTTAGCTAAAATCACTTTACTGTACTGGCTCTCCAGTTTTTAAGTTATTTATCATGAGTTCAAACAGACTGTCATCCATGCATTTTGCTCTTAGTTTTAAATAAGTCACCATGAGGCCGTGGCATGATAGAGAGCTGTCCTCCATCACGCTCTGTATAAATTGGGGGTTAAAGTTTTAAAAATTCTAAAGTTTACATTAAACTATTAGTTAAGCCGCTCAGATAAGCAGAATTAATGTAACAATCAGAAAAAAACAAAGAAAGAAGAGGAGGACATTCTGGAAAAGAAAAAAGTTTCACCATATTCCAGTTAGCTTTCAATTCAATTCAGTTTATTTATATAGCAACAATTCACAACACATGTCATCTCAAGGTACTTTAGAGAGACAGTTCAACCAGATAATACAGTCAAATTGGTTAACAACACATAAAATAAAACTCCGTATGCTGCCATACTTTTCTATACCATGTAGGAACCCTGGTTCTATGAAGGCAGGTTTAGAACTATTATCTCAGAGACCTCGAAAGATGACCTTACACGCTAAGAGCACGTTTCTTACGTTTCTCGTTGACAGATGCAGAGTGGATAGCGGAGGCCAGCAGAGCAGGTCGGATAAAGACGTGGAGCGCCTGGTTCCTGTAGGAGGCACAGGAGAGGATGACAACTGCCTGACTCAAAAGCGCGTCCTCTGGCGTTATTGCAGGCTGAGGCAACCCTGGTTCAACACGACCTCCTGCTATCAGAAAAAACAAAAAAGTTCTGCGTCATAATTTTTTTTATCTTGTTTATATCTGGGGATTGTATAGATGGAGCTATTAAACATTAGAAAGCCTGCTGCTATAAAAAAAGTTGGTTTGTTGTTAAAAAAAAAAAAGTCAAACCTTGATCTAAAGCCAGCTGTACTCTTCCTTCAGAGATCCTCACAAGGCCTTGATGGAGGGAAAGGCTGGAGGAGACGACTTTGGAGGGAGGAATGTGGTCTGAAGGAGAGGAAAGGTGAGGATGAAGAGAAGAATGAGGCTTTAACAACAGGAGAAAAAGAACCGTGCATCAACTTAATGACAATAAATCAATAAAACACAGCAGCTGCAGCCTAAAGTACAAACTGCCGCTCAATTAAAACATAAAAAGAGAGTGGGTCTACTAGAATGTAAATAAAATAAGAGATTAATATGAGAAATATTGGAAAGAGCTGTGATGTCAGAGGTGGGTTTGGCTCACTGCCCAGGGCAGCATAAACTTTGGGATGGCATCAGCGCCCGATTAAAAAAAGGAAACAAAAAACGGATTATTTACACGCTGAAGTCAGACATCACATAGTGTGAGCAATTTAGAAGAATAGAACAAACCACGAGGTGGTAATTACATCTAATTTAGTGTATAATGCATAGCCTGTGGTTCAGAGAGAAATGAAACTAATTTCTGTTTGGACTAAATACATCCTTCTGATCACTGGTTTGTAAAAACTTGATGGTTAAAATAATAAAAGTGATCGAAAAAGAACTGTTCACATTTCAAAATGGTAAAAAGTGATTTCATGCCTCCTGAAACATTGAACTGACACCTTTCATATAGAATCAAGTAAAATATAAAAAGTGATATATTTTTTTTCTAATCCATTCCCATTTATTAACTTTTTTCGAGATAGTGGTAACCTGAGTGTTTGCTACCCAGGTGAGGCTTCACTAAGCTTTATCCCAACGCCTCTCCTATGATGAATAAGGGCAATTCTAAACAACTGGACAGGGCATAAAGCTGGATAACTTTTTTTTTTTTTGCTCTTT